AATCAATACGCATATTTGGTTGAATTTTAATATCAAATCTGTTGAACATTCCTTTTAGATGTTGTTGACGAACTATTATTGACCAAATTCGATGCTTTATAAAGTCATACAGTAAAAAAAAGCGCGATGATGTATTATTATTTGATTTGGCAAATGCAAGAAATTGTGTTCTGAAAATAATGTCTTTTAAAGCCTCGAATAATTCAAAAGAATCAGTTTTTTGATTTTAAAATCATTTGTCAAAGAATTAAAATATTTTTTTATTTTAGTAGTAGGTTTAGCAATAAGAGATAAGCCTAGCACAACAAATGAAATAGCCTGAGCTAATTCTGTACCATGCTTCCCACCTAAACGACATATAGATAATGGTAAGTAGATCCAAAATTCCATTCATTTTTAAAAATTTCTAATGTCTTTGCTAACTCTTTTTGTATTTATTGTGTAAGATCAAGAAATTCAAGTTCTGATAATTGATTGAAAGCAGTAATAATCTTCCAGAATGTATTCTTACTATTCATTGAATTTTGTTTAATCAGATTTCAACAATATTGGAAAGTTCATATACTATTTGAAAGAGAAAACTAGTTTTTTGATGATAATATATCATTTCAAAAATTATTGAGCAAATTGTTGATAAATATCTCTTCTTTAAAGATATTATTTATTAGTAATAGTATTATAATCACAATGTAAATAACAAGTAAAATTGAGTGAATTAAAAGAATGTTATTGAAGTAATAATTCTGAAAATGAATTAAGTTTTTTAAAATTAATTTATTCAAAATTTGTAATTATAATATTGTTACAAATTTGTTTCTAATTACTAAATTAGCTTACAAACTTGAAACTAAATTGGAAAAGAAAATTAAACAATAAATAAATATTAAAAAAAGAAAGATATCTAAGTTCTATACTAATTTTTACAGAAATTATAATAATTAAAGATATAATTATAAGATATAATAATAAGATAAAAGAGTTGTAAAAGAGTAAAAAAAGAAAGAAAATATAAAATAATAAGAGAATAAATAATTAAAAGAATTTTAAAATGCTAATTCTCTATATTTGCATCAAGCTTTCTAAAACTAAGATAATACAATTAGTAATAATAAAGACTTTGAATTTTATTATTTAATTTTTATTAATAAATACTTCTTATTTATAAGAAAAATAAAATAAAAAGTTAATAATTCCAATAATAATAATTTGTTTAGTATAATATAATATAAAGCTAATAATCTAATAGCAGTAATTTGTTCAATATGATATAATTTAAAGTTCAAAGTTAATAATAATATTTTGTTTAATTTATATAATTCAAAGTCACTTGTATAAAAGCTTTAATATATACAATTAAAAATAGAAAAAGCAAGTATTATTTGAAAAATAATTTTTATTAAAAAATAATTTTATTTTTTATTTGTAATATATCAAAATTCAGATAGTATCTCTATTTATATATTTATATATTTATTAAAAGTACAAATTTTAATAAAAAAATTATCTAATAATAAAATAACTACTTAAAAAGATTGAAATAAATATTAAAATATAAAAAGAATAAAATATGAGGTAAATTATCAAATAGAATATTGAATAAAGAATAAAATATTAGATAAAATATAAATAAAAAATAAAAAATAAAATATTGAATAAAAAAATAAAATATTAAATAAAATATTGGATAAAGAATAAAATATTAAGTTATTTTGACTATAATTATTATTTTTTTAATATTTTTAAATTTTTATAATGTTTCATAATTTAAAATAATTTTTATTACTATTATAATAATATAAATAATATATAAATTACAACAAATTTTAATTGCTTTTATATTTAATTTTTGATTAAATTTAATAATTATATTAGATTTTGAACTAAATATATAGTTTGTATTATTTTGTAATTTAGTATTAATATTTTTTTGTATCTAAATTATAATAATTTGTAATTTTTAATATAATATTTATAATATTTGTAGTTATATTATAATATTTGTAGTTATATAATAATTCAAATATTTTATTAATATATTAATTTTGTATATATATATTATTTTATTTTAATATAAACTTTATATTCAAAATATTTTTTATTTTTTTTGTATTATTATAATTATATTATAAAAATTATTAATTTCATAATTTATAATATTTTACAAATTTATAAAAATTATGCAAAGAACTTAAAATATTTTATAATTATATTATATACTATTAATATTTCTCTATTTATTTATTTTAAATAAATATATTTTAGTAAATCAAAAATTTTAAAACTTATACTTAATTAATTATTTATTTTTTTAGTAAATTGAAACTTTATTTTTAGTTAACATATTTATTTTTTATATTCTTATTTTATTTTTAATATTATCATTATATTTATAAATATGAGTTGTAATTAAATCTTAACTCAATATATCAGAACACGAAAATAAATAATATAATAAAACAAATATTTTTTAATAATTAAACAATTCATCTTTCACTTTTAATTATATATTTCAAAATTTGTAAACAAGTAGCTTTAAATTATATTAAGCTAATTAAAATATTATTATTAAATTATTGAATTAATATTTTGTTATAGATTAATCTTTTGATATTTTTATTATAATTGAATTATTTGAGAATTTTGTCATATTTATTATTATTAATTTTAAAATATATTTATATTAGTACAAAGAATTAATATGTTAATTAATATTTTAATTAACATATTAATTAGAATATCTTATTTAGTAAATACAATTAATTAAATACTATTTATAAATTGAATATCCTTATTTTGCTTCTTTTTATATTTTGTTTTTCTTTTAATTATAATAATTTTAGTAAAAATTAATATCGAACTTAGATATATTTTTCTTATTATTCTTATATTTGTTTAATTATCTTTTACAATTCCAATTCATATTTATTAATTAATTATAAAAATATATAATAGTACTCTTATCAATTATAATTTTATATAATAAATGTTTGTTTATAAATTTAAAAAGTTTCTTGTTAATAGTAATTGAGTAACTTTCTTATATTAATGAGATAATATATTAGTTATAATTCATAATTTAAATAAATAATCAATGAGAAAGATAAGAATTTCTTTAGTGTATTATTTTATAAAAGATAATATCTGATTAATAATTATATAATAAAATTAATAAATTTTGAAGTATATATTTATTTGTTTTTTTAATTTTTTTATATTATTGAATGAATTTGTAAGATATACTTTTCTTTTTTTAATATTTTTAAAATTTTATATATTATATTTTGAATGGCAAAAAATAATAAATTCTTATACTTTTTTTGTAGATTTAATAACAAAATCTCTCCAATTTGACTTTCTCTTTGATATATCATGATTTAAAAAAGATCTTGTGCAATAGTAATACTTTGACAACTTTAAAGAAAAAATTTATTTTTTGGCTCTTCTTGTAAGTTATTTTCATTTAGTATTTGGTAAGTATTATTTAATGAATTTTCTTGAAAAATATTGCAGCCTACATATGCTTTTTTCAAATGCTTGAATTTTTTTGGGATATGACATTCTACTAATTATAATGATTTGTTGTTATATTCTAAAATTTCTATTTTTATAATATAACGCGTATTTTTAAATTTAATGGTATCTATCAATATTTATATTATAAGAGATTTATTTTTGTATAATTTTATATTATATATACTATCTAAAAAGTAACATTATATTATTATAAAAATATATTATAAGTATTACAAACAACTTGCAAAACTCTAATAATGCAAATTTTATAATACATGTACATGTAAAAAATTGCAATCAAAATTCGATTAGAAAATTCTAAATACGTATATACGTACCGTATATGTACGTAGTAATCAAATATCCCCAACAAAATATGTATCAACTTTATTGAAATTTATTGTTATTCCAGAAAACAAACTTGTCAAATCTTTTTTGCTATCTGGAAGACAACAGACCGAATGGTTTGCATTTCAGTATACATATATATGAGTGTTTTAAACCAGCAAAGGAAATATTATATGAACTTAAGATGTAATTATAAAAAGAACTTGATAACAAGAAGAATACCAATACACAGCAACTTTTTATAGTATATCAAAAAAAGTTACATGTATTAATAAAAATTTTTCTACTATATCGAGAGTTTTTGAAAATTTACTATCGCTATATCGAGTGAATTTTATTAGAGGCAGTTTCAGATATTATTCACTATATCATGAGTTTAATTAGTCTCTCCACAATAAAGGGGATACACTATACTATAAAGAGAGTCACTGTGTATGCAAAAAGCATTCTTATAATACATGTTCAAAAATGTAATTTATACCAGACGGATCTTTATTAAAAAAAAAAGTAATTTCAATTTCAATGATACTGATACTTTTATTTCTAAATATCAATTCCAATACATCGGTCAATGTTTAGGCGCAAGTATTAAATACTGTAGAATGTCAGCACATGTCTCGTGAGTTCTCAAAAAATTAACGTTAACTGTCAGAATACAAGAATACAACGTAAATTTTTTTCGCTAATAACGACGGAGTCTCAATGGTTTACTATTTTCAATATCATAAAACGAGCAGTAAACGTCCTGTTGAAAATGTGTTGGAAGAATCAAATAAATGGGGGGGGGAGAAGATTTCATTAACAATTGCGATAATATCAATCAAAATGCTAAAATTTGAGCAAATTCTTAAATTAATGTTAACTTCTAACGCTAAGGAAATTAATATCAATATCGATATCGAATACGAAAGTTTTAAACAAAATACATGATTACATATCAAGCTATGACATACTGTACACCTAACGTTAACGTTAAGAGATTCCAATCCTTAATTAATATATTTCCTTACAGATTTTATTTTTATTAATTTATGATGGAGTAAATTGATCATTGCGAATTATATTACGTTAAATGCAAAGCTGCAAGTGAGAACAATATTATGATACTTGCTTCTAAGTGTTCTTCAAAAAGATACACTCTAATTGCTTCCTTGAATCCGTATATCCACAATCAAATGCCCGCCGATACCAATATATCGCCTGATGTTTATCCACCGACCCGCTAAACCCACTATGAAAAGAATACGCATAATTGTATTTTCCCACTCGATAACTTCCAACAACCGATTTTCGATAACAAAGTAATGCTTTATATTTATCAGGTCGTGTTCCGATTCCTAGCTGATAGCAGTATCCAAGTTCATTCGCCGCGTCTGGATTTCCAAGGTCGAGAGCATTTTTGCACCAGTAAAATGCTTTGTTTTCATCTTTTTCAACACCGCATCCTTCTTTGTAAAGAAACGCAAGCTGGATTTGGGCGTTGGTGTTACCCATGTTTGCTGATTTTTGGTATAATCTGAATGCTTCTTTTTCATCTTGTTCTATCCCGTGTCCATATTGATAACAATAAGCGAGATTGTATAGTCCATGATCATGATTTTTTTCCGCACTTTTTTTATACCAATGAACGGCTTTATTTAAATCCTGAGTCACTCCTTGCCCACTTTTGTAACAATTTCCAACATTACATTGTGATCCGGAATCCCCACCTTCCGCCGATATCACATAATAACTAAACGCTTTATCAATATCGGCTTTTACGAAAACACCTTTCTCATAACATTTTCCCAACCAACCCAATCCCATCGCATAACCACCATCAGCCGAACGTTGAAACCAATAAAAAGCCTTTTCTGAATTCTTGCGTGTTCCTACTCCTTCGTAAAAACACCATCCTGTTTGATTCGCGGCAACTGGATCCCCTTGTTCCGCAGCAATCAAATAATATCGAAACATTTCACATTTATCAATTTCTGTTCCTATTCCCTGGCAATACATAAATGCTAAAAGAGTTTTGTAGTTTGTTTCGTCGTTCCTTCGCTCAAATATCATCTTGAATATTTGTGATGGTGGTTCTCTGTGTGTTTTGAACCATTCGTTGACCTCTACTTCTATTATTCGGTCATCTTCGTAGTCATCACATCCTCTTTTGAAGATTTCAAGTAGTTCTTGCAATAAATCCCTAATATCTGATGTCATATTACTTACAATAGAATAAATTTTTAAGAAGTGTACAATAAAGTAATTTTAGAACTTTGAAGTAGAAAATACGTTTCGTATCCTTGTTCAGTCGACTCTCTATAACGAACCTCTTTATAACGAACTCTGGATATAACGATCCTTAAATTTTTAAATTTTCTATTAGTTTGTTATAGAAAAGTAGCAAGTTCTATACAAAACATAGCGATAGTGATTTTTATATACGTATGTAATGAACTTTTTTACTAACGCTAACAGAACCGTTGACTGTACTCATGCATGACGGTGATAAATTAGTAACATGCATAGTTGTTTCACAATAAGCCGAGTAACGGCAACGATAACGATAACGATAACAATAACGATAATGATAAAAACGGGGGTTCAATCTGTCGTTTGCTATGTTTATTTATTCCAGAGATAATTTAATTTAAATATGAACAATAACGATAAAGTTTTTAATAAATTCTGGTGCAGCAACCATGATAGAAGCAGCAACAACAGTAACAATAACGATAACAATATCAATAGGAATAATATTATTAGATACTACGATGAAAATATGGGTGAAGAGAATGACGACGAAAACTATTTATCAAATGCTTTAAAAGAGCTTTTACAACAATTCTCTTCGATCACAAATCCTGGCGGGCAAGATGAACACCTACTAGAATGCGTTCAAACTTGGTCCTCTCAACACAAAAAATTCACCGAAATTCAAATCTTTAAGAATCTAAAACAAATCGCTCGCAAAAATCGCGATTACGCATGTCTACTAGGATTCTTTTATCATAAAGCTTTCGGAACAACGGAAAACCCATACGAAACATTTAAATGGTACCTACGAGCTGCTGAACACAATGACGCATTCGGTCAAAATCAAGTCGGTACTTGCTTTCTGGATGGGTATGGCACAAAAATCAATAACGAGAAAGCCTTCTGCTGGTATCAAAAATCAGCGGATAACGGTTGTAGTAATGCTAAATCTAACCTCGGATACTGTTATCAATATGGACTTCATGTAAAGAGAAATTATAGATATACATTTTATTGGTACTCTAAAAGTGCAGAGATAAGTGACGAATTGGGTATGTGTAATTTGGCAGATGCGTATTTACACGGTATAGGAACGAATGTTGATGTTCATCGGGCCTTACAGTTGTCTTTGGAAGCGAGGAATTTGGGGTGCGTGGATGATGTAGTCAAAACTTTTCGTAAAATTTTCCATTCTGAATGAGTAACCTCCGTAAGAATGAGGATTACCTGTATAATCAAATTCCTATTTGCAATTATTACATGTATATTTAATTGTTTTGGCATATTTTCACTAATTAATATTGTACATTTTATAGCATCCATTATTTTATGGATTGTTTTATTAACTTGTTTTCTTCTATGTGTTTTTACTCAATCACATAATTTTTGTTTTTGCATATTACACGTTAATATCGTTATTATGGAGAAAATCAATATCGATATAAAGTCTATCCTCTGCACCTTTTCCGGATTCAAGACAATGATTTAGCATGCATTAACTTATAAGTGAAACTCCATTCAATGCGTTTTTTTCGAACAGAAAAAAGTTTTTCTTTATCTATTTTTCTTCGTAAAGTTCCATAATACATGTATCACTAAGGCACGAAAACTCATATCGATATGAATGATTTCCATTCGCCACCTTTAGATCTTTTTTCAGCTTGGCACAGTGAATAAAGTTTTCCGTCGATAGTTCACTCACGTTTGTCCCAGACATTAAAATGACAGCAACATTCAGATCCAACACTTTACAGTTTTAGGGTAGAGACATAAATCACGTAATTTTCCTGCTGATAGCAAGTGATTTTTTAAATTTTACGTAATTGGCTAATTGAAAATATGACATCACACATGATTTTGGTCCAGACCCATCCCCCCAAGAAAACACGTAATTTATACTGCTTTTCACTCCCTTGGGGAGTTACTAAAGATAATTGCGGAACACCAGCAAGAAATTCAAAGACAAAACTTTAATCGTTTTTATATAACTATAGGAATTGAAATTTGGTCAAGTTATAGCGATGACTTAACGTTAACGTTAATCATTTATTTTCTACGCTTTGCGTGATTTGATAGTTAACGTTAATGCTCCCACTATATGCCAATTAACTTTCATTCAATCTCTAAGTAAAAATACGGATGGATTAAATCGATCAATTATAGCAAAACATAATCAACCAATTAGCATAGTTATATTACATAACTAAGGCTCCATTAAGCAATGCCCGGAAAAAATTCCCCAGGCACCATTTAAGTCCCTGTTCATCCGAATCCCACATGCGTCGCACCTAAACTCTTTATTTCCACCCAAATTCCTGCACGTTTTGCTTGTGTATGCTTCTGACACCGACGTTATAACAATTTTACCAAATTCCTCCATCTTAAATACCAATCGTTTCGCATGCGCCCAACTCATCATCTTCCGAACTATCCTATTATTAAGTCTTCTTCCTTGTCAGCGTTGTGACATTTGTGCTATGAAATGTCGGCAATACTATTATATCAAAAGTACGAGCCAACCACAATGCAGTTTTTTGTGAACTTCATCCACTAAATATTGGATGCGTTTTCTTAAGCGAGCTTGGGCTCGTTTTATAGAGTTACGCTTTTTTGCTGGTGCTCTAGTGGTGCGTAAATAATACGGTTAATATCATTGTCGCCGAAATTTCCATACCAGACTGTGGGTGAATACCATGTGAGATAAGTTCGGACACCAGGATCAATGGCTGATTTCTTCTGCTTGATTATCACGGATAGACTTTCCATACACTCATACAAATGTCCAATGTCCTAATTTTCTCTCGTATATTCCATTGTAACTTTTCCAGTTTCATACGGCCAACAATGATAGTTCGTGATGAAATTGTGGCTTTGTTAAACCTTTGTGGCGTGGATAATCCAGATCACTAGCACGAAGAACCTTATTATGTAATAGCCTTAGGTAAAAACGAAGTGGTTCACGGCAGTAATGGGCACGAATAGTAATAGTTTGGCGGTCATCTTTTTAGAGGCAAAATGAAGTATGTTTTAAGGGCTTTGACTTTTTCTCTTTCGATTTCTTGCAATGACTTCATCTCTGGCCTGTATAACACTTGAAATAACATGATCAAGCATCTCATATGGCACCTGTTCCATAAACACCCATTCCTTTGTGTATCTAATTTTTAGCCGAAGAAGCACTCCGAAAAAAAAACTGTTTTGTAGTTCTATAATGCTGACGGTAACTGCTTACTACCATGTTATAAACCAATCTAGCACAACTCATCCACTGTCGAAGCAAGATCTTCTGAGAAGAATTGGGATCATTCGTACTTTCAGTGATCGTATCAAATCTGCTTTCTTTGTTCTCTTGACTCGTCGTGTTGTTTGCACTTTCTTCCTGCGTTTTTTGCTTTTTGTTTTGTTTCCGTTCTCGTTTGTATCTAAAAAATAAGTGATTTAATTTGGTTTAGGTGAAAGTGCAAATAAATAATTTACCTAGCAGATCGCTTTCCATATAATCGGCAGATGAAGACGGTGTTAATGGCGAAGATATCCTGAGAAAGTTCCCATTCATCCGTTGGATTGTTATTTGAGAGAATCATGAGCCTCGTGCTATTAAGGTGGAAGATGAACTCGATGAGGTTGAAGACGAATCTACAGAGCCTGTCTCTATAGGCAACCACAATTTCCTTGACCAGTCCGCGACTCCAATAGGGAACGCAGTCCGGGTTTCTTGTAGATAATGCCGGAGCCGATATCGGAGATGAGGTTATGGTTTGGAAATTGTGAGAGGAGGTATTGTTTCTGCCTTTCAAGATCTTCTTTCTGTTTCGGGCTGGAGCCTCTTGCGTAAACAAATAATACAAAATGTAATTATTTTTTTGTAAAAAAGGACAGGGAAGTGAGTAGAAGAAAAAAAATCAAGTTTCTTTACTTAATCTCTTGGGAAAGAAGGTTGTTCGAGATATGAAAATAGTATTTTTTAAATGCTAGAAAAAGTTTTTTTTTTTATAACAATACTACTACTGTTGCTTTTATTACTTAACTACAAGTATATGAAAATGAATTTCATTATAATAACAATGAAATAATGAATAATATATGGCTGCTAATGTGTGCATATATACTAGGTGGTCGAAATGATGGAAATGCGAGCCGGGGACAGTGCAGTGATTCCAAGTTGATTGTTTTTCTATGGTTCTTCTGCCAGTTGTTGGAGTAGTGAAGGATGAAAGTAGAGAAAGTGAAAGAAAAGTAGTAATCCATTTTTTTAATGGCGTGTGTTGGTTATGCAGAGGCACAGAGAGAGAGAGAGAGAGAGAGAGAGAGAGAGAGAGAGGAGTTATTTATTGTGTTGTAGAAGGAAAGGTAAAAAAAGCGAGTTTGTTAGTAATTTGATTTATTGATTGATTAATGTGAACTCAAACGAATTGTCTAGTGAAAACAAGAATGCAATTAACTTTTTCGAAATTCTGACTGCTCTGGAGTGCACTCGTAGTCTTAAATATTATGAAATGACTAACAATCCAGCTATAAATGAACTTTTCATCGAATTTGTAAAGTTCAGAATAAAAATATTGGATAAATTAACAGTTTTTTTTTGCAGGATAAAATAGTGATATTATATAAAAAATTTATTAGAAAATAATATGTCAGAAGAGATTTGACTGGCTTGGTGGAGATATACAAGAGTTTCGCAAAAACTCTTTGCACAAAGAAAAATTATTGGAAAGATTTTGTCAATTTATTATTCATCTTAGAATTGAAAAATTCTTCGAGCTACATAATCTTCTCAATATAGACGAGCCTCTATTTGGTTTAATATGACCAGAAACTTTAGAGGTTTCTGCACACACACACCCCTAGTGTATTGACCCTTTTCTACCTGTCGTCATTGTATGTATTCTTGTTTCAATTGAAAAAATACAATTTTGTTAGTGACATTTATTTGACTTAGTTATTTTTATTCAAAAAGAGGAGTTAGATTTTTATGTAGATATATTATAATAGTAAAAATATAATATGACATGATAAAATTAATCGAAGAAAACGTTGCAAGGTAGTGATTAAATTAACTTAACGCTGTAGGTGATTCGCGTTTTTTTTTTAGTATACCTTAAACCGTCCAGCGGGCAAATTTGCCCACTAAAATTTTTTTGTACGTTTACTCCTAATTTTTATGCTTAACCCCCCTTTTTCTAAGCTAAAATAAAAATATATCGTATTTTTAATCAATATGATATAGAATTTGTAATTTTGATTACAATTATTGATTGATTTTTTAATCAATTCTGTTTTTCCTATGTTGTTAAAAAAAAGAAACTTACGTTACCGCTACGATACATTCTCCTTATCGTTGTGTCAAAGAAAATGATCGACACAATATGTGTGTTTTTGACCTATCGCTCTACGTGTGTCTTAAACCGTCAGGTTTAGCGGGCAAATTAGCCTGCTAAAATTCCATAAATTTATATCTAATATATTTTACCAAAAATTAAAATATTTTTTAAAAAAAGGTTGTTTAATTGTATATTATATAATAGATATTTTCACTTTTTTAATAATTATAAAACATTATAGTTGTCTATAAGTTAAAAAGAAGCAATTTTAAAAAATTTTTATTATTAATCTTAAATTTAAAAATATTTTATAATAAAATTACGAGAAAATTTAATTCATAAGAAAAATGCGCATTTACAATTAATACTCGCGAAAAAAATAATGAATTGAATAAACACATGATATATTGAAGGGGAGGGGATATGTAATAAATAAATAATAAATGAATGTGGGAGAAAAAAAGAGAGTTAGGTTGCCATTTACCATAAATCAAATGAAGAAAAATATCAGCATTATTACTATTATTATCATTACAATTATTCTCGTTATTATATTATTCAGTAGTAAAGTACGATCCGCAGAATCAATGATATCACGTAATTTCAAATGAAGAACAACATAATCAGTAACATTCTGATCAAAAGGAGTAAAGGTAATAGAATAGCCGCGCAAAATCGGGGAACCGTGTTCTTCAGAATCAGAATAAGATGATGTGTAACCTTCGGAATAACAAGTGGAAACTAGACTTAAAGGTAGGTCAAACATATTATTTTCATCTAAAACATCTGCGGTATTATTGTTTAGTTTTCGAAAGAGACATTTTTTCATATAGTTGGACAAATTACCAAGTCGCGTAAAAGTTCTTGTGCAACCACTCGAAGGACATTGTTTAATTCCCGAAGATTCGGTAAAAATATAAGTGATCGCGTGATGAGGAATTAAATATGGATTCTGCATGTATAGCATTTTTCTTCGTCGACTGTTTTCTTGTCTCTCATGGATTCGGCAATGTCGCACGAATTCATCTGAACGTAAAAATTTTTTATTACATCCTTCCCATTGGCATTCATGCGGTCTTTCATCAGTATGTCTCATTGTATGGCGAGTTAAATGTGTAAACCGAGTAAAACTTTTGGGACATAATTTACATTGATATGGACTCGAATTTGGTTGCTGAGAGGCTGATATTTCTTTCTCCTCAAGTGGTAGTGATTGTTCTTGTTCCACCAAAATATCTTGATGATTTGTCATTATTACTATCGCTATTATTGATAAGAAAAGTTTGTGAATCTTTTATTTGAATAGGGAAAAGGAAATGCAAACTTAGGGATGGGAAAACTTAGGGGAAGGAAAAAGTGAGTATAGATGAAGACGATTATATCAGAGACGCGCGAAACGTTGATTTTAATGGGAAATTTTGGTTGTAGGCAAAAGACGAGAGACAAGAATCTGTTATATTTATACTCTTGCCTCGATTCGAGCAAAAGTTTTTATTATTATTACATGTACACGTACATGTAGTAAGAATCGAAATACGTACCTATTTCAGGAATTTATTATTAATCAAGCTCTTTTAATAAACATAATTTGTTCTACCAAATGGCTATTTGATCGATTTCGTTCATGTGTAATTAAGTTTCCCACATCTGAAATAGACGTTCAGATGGTAGGAATTGTCAAATATTTACGTGCAAATTGGGTATATAGTGATAGGAATCGATTCTCAACCCAAAATCAATTCTCGAGCACGGCGATGACGACGACAGCAATAAAGACGATGAGCGCGATGACATAACTGGTCTTTGGTTTTGCTTTTCATTGCATGTTGATTTTTTCTCTTTTCGTTGGAATAGTTGAAGTTGTGCTTTGATTAGTTGAATTCGTAGAGATACTACATGGTAAAGATAGTATAGAGGCAATTGAAGTACGTATGTCATCAGATTGAGATTCTGTATCCGTTTCATTACATGTACTTTCTGTTGTTTCATAAATATCATTCAAATTTGGATCAATATTAGTTACTTTTGGCATCAGTATCACTATCAGAGCTATTAAACTCTATATTGACAATAACTTTTTGGTTATTATCAATAGTAACATTTTTGTTGAATGACAGTGCGTTGTAACATTTGCACGTTTTTCATATGATTTTCGATTAGTGCTCCGGTCGGACGAGTCGGGTCGGGTTTTTAGATATATATGAACTCGACCCGAGTTAAAAAATCTTTATATGAAAATACCCGAGTTAGCTTTTATATAACCCGAACTCGACTCGACCCGACTCGTATCGACCCGGGGATTTTATAATATTATTGATAGTGCTCCGAAGGGGTCGAGTCGGGTCGGGTTTGGGACATATTCGAACTCAACCCGAGTATAAAAATTAAAATATAAAAATACCCGGTTAGCATTTATGCAATCCGAATTCGATAATATTTAATGCGCATAATCGTCGACTGTCCAATTTTGGTATTTTTTTGCCCACTTCTAATCGGCGTTTTTGGTGTTTTTGTAGTATATATATATAATATATGCATTGATTTTTATGAACGATAATTGGTTAGTAACTACAGATATACATATAATTATCTAAAACAGTAATTAATGTCATTACTATTGTCTGACATATCAAGTATTTGCTTACTATTACCGTGAACTGTTTCTAAATTTCTTTCTATATCATTTTCGTCACTTTCATTATCTATATAATATTGATTTATACATGTATTTATCTTTTCATTCATCACAGCAATGTGTTTTTCAATAACTTGTTTTTGTTGATCCGGAGGAGATTGCAATTTATGATTGCTATAAATATAAACTAATTTAAGAATATGCTTAGGGTAGTGACATATATTATTTTATTATAAGTATCTACTCCTCTCATCTTCAAATCAAATAGTACATGTTATTTTGTCATACAGTAACTTTGTATTACATTGGATCTCTAATCTCCTATTTTGTAAAACTTAAAAGATTGTACTTATTGATAAACCAAATTCGATTAGTCTTGTTTAATCTCCTAATTATTTATGAAACTTAAAAGGTTGTACTTATTGATAAACCAAATTCGATTAGTTCTGTCTATTTATAATAGATAAATCTTTAATTTTTTAATTATTTTGTAAAACCTTAAAGATTGATAAACCAAATTTGATTAATCTTGTTTATTTATAACAAATAAATATCTAATCTGTAAAACTTAAAAGGCTGTGCTTATTGATAAACCAAATTTGATTAGTCTTGTTTATTTATAACAAATAAATATCTAATCTCCTAATTATTTATGAAACTTAAAAGGCTGTACTTATTGATAAACCAAATTCGATTAGTTCTGTCTATTTATAATAGATAAATTTCTAATCTTTTAATTATTTTGTAAAACTTAAAAGATTGATAAACCAAATTCGATTAATCTTGTTTATTTATAATAAATAAATATCTAATCTTAGAATTATTTGTAAAACTTAAAAGACTGTGCTTATTGATAAACCAAATTTAATTAGTTGTATCTATTTATAACAGATAAACTCATATTATATATATTTTTGTAAAAAAAATTTCATTTTGCTTGACTAAAAGAGATAAATAAAAAGTGTAGCATATCAAAATTATTATTTTTATTTCTTTGATACTTGATAATTAAGCTAGCGATTTTGCATTTTTTATTATAAAACTCAAAAAATTTTATCAAATTATAAACATGTTTACTGAATTATATACAAAAATTTATAATTTTTTGATAAATGCTGAAGAAGTATATATTACTACTATTTTTGTTATTTATTAGAGAATAGAAAAAGAACCATGGATATTATAAAATAAATTAAGAAATATTATAGATCATGCTATAGATTCTGCTAGTAATTTATATGAAGAAAATTCAACACGTCAATTAAAACTTCTTCAAATACTTTATCAGATTGGTTATTACTCTTGTTTATTTATAATAAATAAAATTACTTTTATTATATAATGATATTATATAATTCATTCACAAAGATAAATGCTGAATAAATAATTCAATTATTATAGTTGTTACTTATTTACATTTATCCTAATTAGTTCACTTCTGTATAATATTTACATAGTTTGGGGAATATTTAAGAAGCTGTTATACAATTATTTTATTTATTCTATGATATATAATGTCTTTGCTCTGCAAACAACCTGCTATGATCAAATTTATTTGACAGTGTGGAGAATATCTAAGTTATAAGTTATTATGTTGTTTTATAGTATTACACAGAGTTTTATTGATGTGATAATTATACAAAAATGATAATTTTGCATATATATTGATAGTATGTGTTTTTTTAAGGATGAAATTTAAAGTTATAATATAATACTGAAAATTAACATATAATATTTTATATTTTATAATAGTTTGAAGTTGCTTTTGAAGGAGTTTGTAGTTTACGTGATATTAGAGTAGTAAAAACAAATAAAAAAAATTACTTAATTCGAATCAAATTGAAAATAACATAAATAACTTGAAAGCAAAACTTGAAAAAAATACAACATCTCTTTATCAACATTTATACTTAAGTATAAATAAGATATCTGTATCAAAATTAATCTGGAAGGATTCACTAACTAGTCAGATTATTAATAATAATTTAATTATTATACAACAATTACCAAAAAATTTAAAAAAAGCTTTATGATAAGTATTTTTGTATTGCAAATATAAAGTATTTATATTATAAAAATCAAGCTCATAATATTTTTGTATTAGAAATCTGCTTGTCAAATGATATTTACACCTATATTAATGATCAAAGAGATATATAAAAAATTTGTATCAAGTTTTTTTAAGCAAGAAAATAAAGAAAAACTATTAAAATTAATATATAATGAAACTTAAAAAGAATCAGAAGAAGAAATTATATGTATTATAAAAGAAATTTTGGATGTTTTAAAAGATATTTGGAATAATTTAGCCTTTAATTCTGAACACACAAGATCATTAAATAAAGAAACTTATCAATTAATTGTCATAGTATTAACATTTTGAATGTTATTAAAAAATCTTTCCATCAAAAACTTCTCATATATCACCACTTCAGAAAAACAGAGTGTTGCTAGTGCAGATAGAAAAAGAAAAGGTCATATAAGAAGGTAATCAGATATCATGCTCGTTATAAAATATCTTGAAATGATATTTGAGTTAATGTATGTTGAATATTCTCGTTTATTCTGCAATCCACAAAAAAAGACAGATGATGAGATAAAATTATGGTGTGAGTGTAATGATAAAATGTATTATACTCACAAAACTCTTAGACCTAATAAAGATAAGTTTGGAATTGTTAGAGTACAAGTAGCAGAAAATATGTTATATTTGAATATTTTTGTTAGAGACAAAGCTGATATTCACTGATACTATCATTTATAATCAGCTGAAATTCCTATATAATTATCAAATGAGAGTATAGTAACTAAATTTGTAGAAATCTTATTACTTTTACATAATATTATTATTACAAATTTATCCTTATTATTTCATGCATCTATATCCAAATCAAAATGACAAATAAAAGAAAGCACTATAGTTTTTCTCCCATGTTTGAGTAATTTTTATATTATATTACATATATATTTGATTATTACAATAAAGATGTATAAATATATTGATTTTTTTGGTTTAATATAAATACTATTAATATATGAAATTAAACACATATTGATCCTTATCATTAAAATTGTATTGGTATTAGGGATAGGAATCGATTCTAAAATCAATTAATATTTTTGATTTCCAACAAAAATTGATTCTTGAGCACAAAATACAATGATTATAATGATGACAACAGCAATAACAATAACGAGGATGACGATAATAACAATGATGATGATGATATTATAACTAGACTTTGATTTTGTTTTTCATTGTATATTGATTTTTCATTGGAGTAGTTATTAATTAAATTCGTAAATATTACATAATATAGAAGAAATTAAAGTATTATTATTAGATTGAGATTTTGATCAATATCACTATTAGAGTTATTAAACTTTATATTGATAATGATTTCTTGATTATTATCAATATTAACTTTTTTGTTGAATGATAGAGTACGTAGTACTATATTATTTGTATGTTTTTCACATGAAAATTATAATTTTCAATTATATATACATGTATTTACGTATATAATTATGCATTATTGTTATCAATTTTGTCTTTAAAATCGATTCTCAAATTTTAATTAATTATAAATTTTAATTGATTCTTTAATTTTAATCAA